TCTCTGAGACGGCTTCTATGTTGGCGCTCTGGCTCATGAGTGCCTCCCTGTTTTGCCTTTGAATAAGTCTCCTGCGCGATGAGCATGGTTGAACTTACACTGAGAGCGAGTTGAGGGAGAGGGATAGTGAGTTCTTGTGTCTTTCAACAGCCGCAATGAGATCCTCAGTCTCATTCTTCCGGAGCGGCCAAAGAAGGCGATTGATTGCGCGCTTACCCGACGACTTGCTCGAATCGAGGGAGAACTTTTGCAGCTTCGTGGACACCTTTTCCAGCACAACCTGGCAGTTCTTTAATGCTGACTCCAGCTGGTACTCCGGAAGATCCACCTGTGCAGCAACCCCTCGAACACCCAATAAGATGCCATTCAGGCTGGTGACTTCAGATACGAGTCGCCTTGCCTCATCTGGGGCGTTTGCTACCGCACAACCATAACAATAGCATTGACTGATGATGCTGGCCGCCAGGCCAATAAGGCCAGCAACTCCAGTCCCGATCGAAAACGGGTCAGCCATTGTGTAGAAGTCCGGATGCCAAGGCCAAATAGTTGACGTGATGAGCTGGAGGACACATATGGATATATTCTTTTCACCAAGGCTCTTTATGTACTCCACAGGGCTGGTTCTGAGGCGCTTCTGACAATCACAGAATTCAAGGGATATGGACAAGCCTTCTAGAGGGTATTTCAAATGGTGCTTGTGGGCTTCTGAACAAGTTGAAGTAGAAATATGGCTTACACTGGAAACGACATTTCAGCTCGCCAAGTGACCGTGGGGGCCAAAGGAGGCTGAGGAGGTCCAGTTGCACCGCCACACTTTGGCAAATGGGCAAGATATGTATTCAGATATATAGTGACATAACCTCACCAGTTCGCTTACACAGCCGTAGTGTGCCGAACTGCATGAGCGTCGCTCAAGAGGCGCTGATGGCATGCGCTTGACTGTCCTTATTCAAGGCACTGGGTAATTCGCCCGGTGCGAGCTGCCATGCCATGTCAATGGCTCCACGAGGGTTTCCTTTGTTGTACAAAAACAGCCCCTGCAGGGCCGCCATGCTCGTCCGACTGCTTCTCCCAGGTCCGGGGGCTAAGACTCCTATCTCATGGAGTTTCTCAAAGAACATCTGCCTAAACACTCCTTCGGGATCCGCATCGCTGTAAAACCGAGCCCAGAGTTGCTCGATCTGATAATTCGTGGCTTCACCGAGTCGCACTGTCATATCTACTCGGCCAGGCCGCACAAGTGCTTCGTCGAGGCGATCAACGTGGTTGGTTGTGAGAAAGATGATGCGTTCTTCGGCACTGCCCACACCATCCAAAGCGTTCAACAAGCCGGAGAATGTCACGTTGGCTCCTTGATACCCGTCGGCTTCGACTTGCCGGCGGTTTGCAAATGCTGCATCAACGTCCTCCAAAAGAACCAACGTCCGTTGGGGAATGACTGTCAAGAGGTGATTCAGCCTATCGTCCGTCAGACCACGCTCACTGAGATTGAGCATGGCGATATCGTAATTCAAATGCCCAGCAAGGGCTTGAATGAACGATGATTTACCCGTTCCGGGCGGCCCATATAGGAGATAGCCTCTCCGGTAAGGAATTCCCCGCTCGTAGTACCATTTGGCCGAAGAGAGAAAGTCCTGGACGTCGGCGACTATGCGTTCTTTAACACCTTTATCGAGAATAACGGATTCGAGAGGCCGCTTGCTGCGAGGGTGACCGAATTTATCCCACTTTGTACCCCATGCGGTGTAAATAACAGTTTTACCTTCGACTGATTGAGTGGCGATATCATGAGCCTCTTTAAACAACGATTCAAAGACGTGCCGCTGAGAATACAGCGTGGTCAAGGTAACGGTCTCCCACGGTTTTCCATCCATCGAGAACTGCTTCGACTCGCGCTGGCGGTTGACCATGATCCATGCATTCCGATAGCGGATCACATGCCTACCGGGACCAGGAATCAAGACAAAATTCGTGTGAATGGCACCATTAGGCAGTTCTCTTTTCTCCGTCTCAATTGCCAAATGGCGCATGCTGGGTGTGAGTCGCTGGAGCAGAGACTCCCAAGCACCGGTATTTGTCTGCGATGCCTTCTGCGCCAATCGCCCTCGCTCATGTAACGTCATCCAGTAGAGAAACCAGGGGTAGGAGTCGTCTCGAACACTGATCTCGACGTCGACCAGAAGACGTCGTCGCATAAGGGCAGCTCCATGCCGAAGACCTCTCCGACCGAAGGTGAAAAGGGTACCGAGACCAGCAAGACCGAAGCCCTAGCAGAGCGTTAAATACATCCTCTATAATTGCGCCAGTACTCACGGCTGTGAAGAAGGGGTTGCTGAGCAACTGCGCGATCAGCCCGCCATCTGTAGAACTGCTCGTGCTTGCGACTTGACGCAAAAGGTCAGCTTTTTGAGAGGCCGCATCGGTCAAAGCCGGCGTTGAGAGCGACGTGTTTGTGTTCGAGGCGACCTGGACCAGTCCATTGTCGCTCTGCATCCCCTCGTCAAGAAAGGTTGAGGGCGATACAACTTCGTCTGAGTTGGAAACGATGCATTCGATACTTTGCGCAATGAACTCGGGAGGATATTTTGGCCGGTTCCGATATGCAGGTCCGGACCTCGACGGACTTAAGCCAATAATTGTTTCCCACCTGCATTGATGACGATCTTCCATCCTACAAAAATACGAGTCGCTTCTCCCAGGCAGCAGGAAACCATGTAGAGACGGACTCGCTGCATATAATCCCTGTGTCGCTCATGCGCTCCTTCTTTCGGCTGTTGTTCAGCAAGCGCACATCGTTCAAAGCACACACTGCTACACATCCACCTTCCTTACGCACCATGACGTCCTCCTCTACAGCGGCTCTCCTGTACGCAGCCACCATTGCCATCCCCTCGACCGTGTCCCCAAAACCTGACGACGAGATTACAAAGACCAAGGCGTGGCATGTCAAGAGTGGTGGCTTTCAAAACCCTTGGCCGTCATGGCAGATGCACTCTCTGCATACCCTCCTCTGGGGTCTCCTCCAGAGGAGGCTGACTGGCAAAGCGAACAAGCCTGACACAACTCCTCCGACCGTCCCTGTCCGTCCGCCTACCTTTCTTCCGTCGCGCACCGCAAACTCCTCAGGCTCTCTTAGAGCAACATGGCTCGGGCATGCCTGTTTTTATGTCGAATTTCCCACCGGCCTACGCGTCCTGTTCGACCCAGTCTTTACAGATCGATGCTCACCCTTTTCATGGCTGGGGCCTAAGAGATATACAGAGTTGCCCTGTCAAATAAAGGACATTCCCGTCATCGACGCTGTTGTCATCTCGCACAACCACTACGATCATCTCTCGCACCCTACCGTCTTGGAAATCGCGAAACACAACCCGGAGTGCCACTTCTTCGTGCCTTTGGGCAACAAGAAATGGTTCTCGGATAGCGGGATCGAGAAGTGCACTGAGCTAGACTGGTGGGATGAAGTGGATTTTACACTGACACCTTCGTCTCCACCGTCTACGGAAACAAAGCGCGCAAGCGTTTCCTCGACTGACGAGCCTAACCTAGCCTCTTCACGCGACGCAATAACAGCACGCATCTCCTGCCTACCATGTCAACACATTTCGGCACGCTCGATTCACGACCGCGCTGCTACTCTATGGGCTTCATGGTCAGTCTCGTCAGGTTCTAAATCAGTGTATTTCGGCGGGGACACCGGGTATCGTACCGTCCCCAAGTCTTCCGAGGGCAAGGACGACTGGGCAGAGGAGTATTCAAAGCTACCTCATTGCCCGGCATTTGCAGATATCGGCCGTCTCAGAGGTCCGTTTGACCTGGGTCTCATTCCCATTGGGGCTTATATGCCACGGTGGATCATGAGTCCCATGCACGCCAATCCCCGGGATGCGGTGGAGATATTCAGGGATGTAAAGTGCAAGAGGGCACTGGGCATACACTGGGGCACATGGGTGTTGACGGAGGAGGATGTACTGGAACCACCCCGGTTGTTGAAGGAGGCGTTGAAACACCATAAAATGGAAGAAACGGGAGTGTTTGACATATGTGACATAGGCGAGAGCAGGGAGTTTTGAGAATTTCACAGAGAAACAAACGGCTTCTGGTGTTGGATATGTGCAGGGTAAATGTAGTACCATTGTAATGTGCTGAACGGGTGGATGGATTGGACGGCTAGGTGACTAGACTGGAGGCATTGGCGTGGCATTAACAGGAGTAGTTCTAACGTTTTGGACAGTCAAAACATGGAACGGTTATGCTGTACACCTGTGGAAAAGAGACAGGTAGGACACTATACTAGTTATGCACAGGATCTTCTATTATTATCCTTACAGCTTTGAAAGGTAGCAATACTTCGCGAGCGTGTGATGGCGAGCATGAAGCCATCGATAATCTGTAGTAGATATTGACGTCGGATGCTTCCAGGTTGAACATTATTGACCAAGGCGGGTATCTTGTAGCCTTCGTGTCTGCACAACAAGCAGAACACAGTGCACGGGATGGAGACCGGGGGGGGGGGGGGGGGGAGGGCGCGAGGATGGTAATACTATACTGTAGAGGGTTCTCGATGTTGCCGAACACTGCCCAAAGTGCCCATGGCGTGGAGGAAGGTCTCCGTTCAACCCTATTATATGTAGGTTGACTGTCTTCTTCTCCGGTATCATTGGGTCTGCTGCCTACCTCGCCTTGTTGTCTTTCAATTCCTTGGGGTACTGGATCGGGCTTTGGCACCTTGGAAATGGAGCAGTCTCGTTTGACTGCCAGGGATCTCATGTCTTCAATTCATGCAGGCAAATCTGGAGGAGGCTCGTACACAACTGGAGATCGAGGAGGACTCGGGAGGGATCCAGAGTATTCAGCCAGTAAAGCGGCTACATCCAGCTCGACATATCGTCCTTCAGCTCTTGTACTGCCCGAGAGTTAGCGATGCCGAAATAAGCCAAAGACACCTACAAGTGAAACCGTTGAGCATTTCCCCACGCTTTCAAAATCAGTGACACTCGTTAAGACTCACATTCTGGTATTGGAATCTGGAGAACGCCACCGCTTTGTTCCAACCTCTCGCGAATAAGTTGAGAACAAGCTTCAAATATCCTCGGGTAATAGCCTGCAGAGGACCAGTCTAGTACACAAGGCGGCTGATCTGGATGCCATAAGATATTTCGCGGAAATAAGTCGAGGTGACATAGCACCAGTTCGGATTTTTGAAACGAAAGGGTCGCCCCTGGAACAAGATGCCGCATGTTGTACCACCGCTCAATCTTGTCAATGGTGTCAAATGTCGGAGGGTCTGATTCACCAAAGAGAAGGGCACGAGATGGTCCGCCTCCGAACGATCCTGGCTTTTCAGATGTTTGGATGGCAAAATGATCAAGGATCCGGAAGAGAGCTTTGAGCTGCGAGTGGTCTTTGTACGAATCTTGTGTCTGGCCCTCCATGAAGTCCATGGCGAGGTAGCCACGACCCTGCCCGTCTTGGAAGAAATCGTAGACCTTGGGCACTCGGACGATATCATGATCCAAGATCTGATAAGCCTTGTCTTGACCGTGTGCCTCGTATTCGGTCACCCCATATCCAAATTCTACTGCGATGCCGTCGGAGAGTTTGAGAATGCTTTTTCCATATGGTATGTGTGCGACAAGGTCTTGAGGTTTAGCTTTACCACACCTGTCAATGATTTCATCTTGTGATAATGTCATTACGGCTATCCTTCAGGTTGTGCTGGGTCTGTAACGAGGATGTTCTATATCGAGAGAGGAAAGGTAACAATCAACATTCTGAACGGGAAGGTTCACCGATAACGTCTTGCCAAGACTTCGCGACATTCGCTCGCTCAAGATCACTTCTACTTCCGCCATGCGGTGTGACCACTAAGGACCATGCAGGAATGCGATGAACAGTAGGCATCCTCTCCGCAATGCACCGGTGGTCTGCGTCAATTTTGAAATGTGCTGGTGAGCTCCACTAAAAGACCGTAGAGAAGATTTTAGGAATATAAAATAGACGCTCTAGCAGGTGCTTTTCGCAAAAGGACAGAACCTCACTTCTCGACAAGTCATCTCCCACATTCCCTAAATCCATGATTTGCTTTTCGCTCTTAGGCCACTGTAGACACTATGACACTGACTAATAGTACAGGATATCAATTTATGCCGACTCCCCTCTTCCAGAACGCCATTGAAAGGACTGAACGAACAGGTCAAGCTGAACACCACCTAGCGCCACAACAACCCAGGCATATTGCTGTGCGCAGCCAGTAAGTAAGAGATTGTTTCTGATCAGTCTCCATGGCACCGTTTCCATGGGACAAGAAGTCTCGTAGTGCCAGTATCAGTGCCATTCCCGTCTCCTCTTTCTTCGCTCTACACACCTTCTCTTTCCGACGTTCGCCCCATGGTGTAAACCGAAACCAATTCTCGATACGGTTCCCTTGTGTCGTCGTATCATCAGCCGCAGGCGAGGAAACAGTGGCAGGGCACTCCCAGTCCGACGGGCTTCGTCTATATTTCTTTCGCCTTAGTGTTCTTTTGTCTGGGGACTTTTCCTTTGCGACCTTTCGTTGCCTTTGGCTTCTTTTTCTCAGCGACGTCACTGACATTGTCTTCATCCATGATGGCATTTGCCGTCCCGGTGGTTGCTTGACCAGTATTCGAAGCATCTTGGCGGAGAGCGCCTATGTATCCTTCTGGGACTGCATCGACATTGTTTCCTGCATTGACCTTATCCCCAGTCTCATCAGCTGCCTCCGGTCCTGGGGTGGCACGGGTTGGTGCGTCATCGCTATCTTCATCTCCGGTCTGAGTCTCTTCATATTTGACTGGTTTTGTCCTGCGGCCAGTTCTGGTGCGCTCACGTTTGGCGGCCACCTTGCGTTTGGAGTTGCGAGCTTCGACAGCATCACTGGCTGGTTCAATGGTTTCCTTGACATCTTCATCTTCAGGAGTATCCTTAGACGATGCCGCCTTTTTCCGCTGTCTTTCTCGTTTGGCTGGTTTTGCTGGCTTCTCCTCCACCTCCTCAGACTTGACCTTCTTCGCGCGGGATCTTTTCGTCGGTTTCTCAGGTGCTTCTTCTTCACTATCTTCCTCTTTCACAGCGACTTTGCGTTTCCTCCCTCCAGCCTTCTTCGGTGGAGCTGACTGGGTAGGATGAGTATCTTCGTCCTCTTCTTTGATCTTGCGACGTGAGGTCTTTTTCTTGGCTGCTGGCGATTCTGGCAGGTCTTCTTCCTCGTCTGATAGGACCCTGGCTTTCCTACCTCGCTTCGCTTTGGGTTTGGAGGGAGTCTGCTCATTCTCTGCAGCAATTTCCTCGTCATCATCAGCCTCTTTCTTTTTTGGGGTCCGTTTATTGATGCCTTTCATCCCTGGACGGTTGAATTCAGGTTCCTAGGTTGAAAGTGTCAGTCCACCTCACCAGGACATTGTAGAGACATGGAGTCTTACACCCCTCCAGTCTTCGTCAGCTACATGGCCATTCATCAGTGCATATTTGATCTTTTCACGCGATCCGTCATCGATCTCGTCATAACCATCAATAATACGATCCAAGTCGGCATCTAGGTCGTCCAGATCCTCCAGCGGACCGACCTGATCTTGGAGCTTTTTGATTTGAGCAGGCGTGACGCAACCCCTGGATTCAGATAGTGAGTTACAGCCAGCCAGGATCTCCGTACAGGAGCTTACCAATGCTTCCACATCCACGAGGTGTGTTCGTGAATTGTCACCAGCGTCCCCATTCTGAACTCGCCCTTTTCAATCTTGATTCCCGCTTTTTTGCATGCCGTATTTTGACAGCCTGCGCGGCCCGTTTTGGCCATTTCTGCATTTAATTAGATCAGCCTGAGATTTGACATTTGAGGGAGCTGATAAATAGCGGATGGTTGCACGAGGTTGTTACTTCCAAAAGGCACAAACACTGTGCTATTTCGATGTTTTTTGAATGTGTGAGAAACGCATAAGCAACTCACCAAAGCGATACGTTGGGTCCGATGCCATGTTGAGCCGGAATATTGATGGCGATGTGAAACGGGGAGAGGCTATTAATTCGGATGGGCTGGGGGGCTGAAGTTGGAAAAGGGAATTGATTTAGCGAGCAGGTTTGAGACCATGAAACTATGAGAGTTTTGCAAGAGGAAATGGTAGGAGAAAGGAGTCTGATTGCGGATGGGGATGGCAGAGTTGGTTGATCGGCGAGAAAGAGATAATGGTTGTCAAAAAGTGAAGCTTCGTGTCAGGCAACTGAGAGCGACTCTGTGGAAAATTGGATTGTCTGACAGATGACACATCATCATTGTGACGGGCACCTGCTGCGGCTGTCCCATGCTTTGTTTCTGTCAGACGAGCTGGTTGCAGAACACGAGCGCGACGCGTAAAGTGCCTTGACAGCCTCCTCGCCTACATCTCAGTCTCAATTCCCTGTGATAACTTAGCCTATCGCCAGTTCCCTTTTCAACTCAATCATGATCAGATTGCAGCTAGATACTATGATGCCAACTTGCAATCTTCAAGAAAAGAAGTGCAGAGACCGCTGCCACCAAGCATGGCCTAATGAAAAAGTTAACATTTGAGGTGGTGAGAAGATCCCAAATCATCTTCGTGTCTTTTGTTACCATTCTGTTAATGCTGTTTGAATACTAAAAACTTGTGTAGAAGCGCCCGCTCAAGATCAGAAGAAGATGATGACGACGACGAATGATTGGTTATCCACGAGGCAATACCTCACACCAAGCGCCTCCCTGGCTTATTATGCAAGTACTGCTCTCTAGCGAGGAAAGGAGAGCTCAATATTGTTCGATTATGCCTGCTTTGTGGCTTTGCTCGTCCCGTTCCCACTGGCGCTGCCGCTACCACTTGCTGCTTCGGCCTCCGAACTGTCGAGATGTCCTGCGGCATCCACGCCATGTAAGACTCCTGCGCGTTTCTCCACGTCTTCGTTCGGCTTGCCATAGTGGGCATCATACTCCTGTTGCAGCAATTAGCAAATGCGTAATATAGGGCTATGAGAGAGGGTCTCACATGTCGTCCGTCGTGGAAGAAGGCGTATGGAAGTTCACCATGGACCTCACCATCACCGATAAGAAGTTGGTCTTCGTTGTATCTCAGAGGGATTCTCAAGACGTATTTGATGAATAGACAGATGGCGCTGGTCCAGAACAGATTCCATCCGATGACGAAGAGGAAGCCCACAATCTGGACCCAAACTTGTCGTCCGTTCCCATCAATTGCACCACCCGAAGGAGCAAGGGCAAAGGCGGCAGTGCCTTCGGAAGTAGCAAAGAGCCCAGTCAAGAATCCTCCGACAACGCCGCCAACCAAGTGTGTATGGAAATCTCCCACCACGTCGTCAGAAAATTCGAGGAACCACTTCTGCTTGCCGAGGATGTTCATTGACATCCAAGGGATCACACCAGAACAAATCCCAATGATAATGGCACCCCATCCTGCGACGAACCCGGCAGCAGGCGTGATGGCAACCAGGCCAGTGATGATGCCTTGAATGGCCCCGATGACGGCTGGTTTCTTGAAAAATATGAGATCCATAATAGTCCAGGATAACATGCTCATTGCCGTGCACACGTTGGTATTGAGCACGGCAGCGCCGGCATCGGGCGAAGCGGTATAAGGATCGCCACCGTTGAAACCATTCCAGCCTAGCCAGAGGAGCCCGACACCGACAAGGGCCAGCAGAACGTTGTTCGGGTGAAATTCGGTGCGGTCGCGAGGATGTCTAGGGCCAACCCAATATGCCAGGACCCATCCAGCTGTGCCTGATGAGACGTGAATGACATACCCTCCCGAATAATCCAACACGCCCATGTCGAACAAGAAGCCACCTCCCCAGATGCTGAACGCGCCCACAACGTAGCTGAGAGTCAACCAAAGTGGCACAAAAGCCATCCAGGCCAGGAAGTTCATTCTTGCCAGGGCTGCCCCCGCGACAAGAACAAGTGTGATGGCCGCGAAGACGAACTGGAAGTATACCATGGTGCTCATTGGATATGCTGCCGAGAGTCCGGCCTCTGGCAAGTACGCCTGCTTCAGTTCGTAGTTCATTTCGACAGCTGGGCCAGGCACACCAACGAATGGCAACATCTGCTTGCCAAAGGCCGCTCGGTATGCATAAACCACCCAACAAATGAGGACCGCGGCAAAGGCGTATAGGACCATAAACGCTGAGTTGATGGCCCACTTCTTTTTCACTAATCCTGCATACATGACCATCAGGCCCGGGACGGATTGGAGTCCGACGAGGGTCGCAGCCGTCAACTGCCAGGCGTTATCCCCATTGTTGAGCCAGTCAGGCGCAACGAGTGTGTCGGCATCCCAGCGGCGCTGGGCGCGATAGCTGGCTGCATGCCCAGGGGACATCGAGGCCAACAGATTCGGGATGATGTCAGTGGTGGGTTCAGCGGTGGAAGAGTTGCTTCACTCAGCCGTGTTCTTGATTCTCAGCCCTGACAAGGTAAGGGGAGGAGAGAAACTCACATAGACGCGTTGAAGAGCGTGCAAGGAGCAGGAGCGAGGATTTAAAAGGAATGCCAGCAACGCACGCGACGAAAAAGAAAAGGCGAGCTCTCCAGCTCTCGAACCACCCATGCGACATGCATGCTGTGTCTAGAGGACCCCTAGGCCGGGATTCAAGCGATATCTATCCCATCAGCACGTCATGATTCGCCCTGAGGTGCCATTATTGCCTT